CCCCAAAACAGTGGCTAATGCATAGATCTGGAGTTTTATGACTGACTGCAGGTTCTAACCCCACCCATGGTATGGTTTGTTTGCAATTGTGTCATTATGATTTCATGAGTCATTGCAGTATCATTTATTTTAGTCTTGATATTTTTATTGCACCCTTCTATGAATGTGCACTGTATTTTTGTAATTACAGAAATCTTGATTGAGATCAGGTTGGTGTGATGGAGAGATGCCTTCAGCAAGGTGGATGCATCTCCATTTCTTTTTGACTTGTCATGATGAAGTGTTCATGGCAGTGGCTTGTAAGTTTCTGGCCTTTGATCACTAAAATAATCTTGATTCATGATTTTTCACCTTGGCATGATCCTCGGTTGGCCAGCAATGTAGGCATCATAAGTGTGTGGAATGATGTTGACAGTGTGTGTGTGTACTGCATCATGCCCCAATTATGTAGAAACCCACAGAGCAGTAGTGGACAGGGCATCAGCTCAAAGTGGAATACTACAGTGAAAAACATGGAATTTTGTCACAGCAATTAGCAGCTCCTGTTCACCCATTTAAATGACCTAATTGGTTGTACATCTAAACCTGTTCTACCTCTTTTATTCTGATTATTTTACTCAGAAAATAATGAATGTTCATTCAGACTTATAGTTAGTTCATGCAGGTCCAGGGTTCTCTACAACTTTTTTGGCTCATAGTGTATCAGTGATTACCCTTTCTTAGTTTGCTTTAGTTAGTAAGGGAGGGGTCCTGGGTTGAAGGTTTTAACCCTTTGACTGTCGCGGCCGTATATATAGGTTTACGAGGTACCGTGTTTGACGTATATATACTCAAATTCTAGCAGCTTCCAATCAGGCAGGAGAAAGCTGGTAGGCCCACATGTGAGAGAATGGGTCTGTGTGGTCAGTGTGCACCATATAAAAAAAATCCTGGAGCATGCAGTGCATAATGAGAAAAAAAGAACTCCGTTTCTTTAATTAAAATGCCGAATTGTGGTCTATTTTCGTATAGTATTTGTGGTTGTATTCTCGTTTTCTTGGTCTCATTTGATAGAATGGAAACTATATTATAGAAATAGAGGTGATTTTGATTAATTTTACTATAAAAAGAACCTGGAAATGGGAGCACAAAGTACGGGAAATGTTTGATTTTTGCCAATGTTCAAAAGTAAACAAATGATGTCATTGTCCAATAAATGTCCAAATAGCCATTCTAATATGCAGTCATGAATGGGTTGATATAATTTTTACAATTATTACAGTATTGCAGTAGTCTGCATAACAGTAAATCTTCTATTTTTTGTTTGAATAAAATTTCAAATAAAAAGCAAGAGTAATATCAGAGGGTCTGGGAGACATGACTGATGAACAAAGAAAATGTTATTTTAGAGCCAAGAATGTCTGCATTGTTCATTCTGGTCCTTATTTTGAAATTGTCATATTTTTTAATTTTCGTGAAATTGGCCAAATTGCAAATTTCTGACCATGTTATTGGGTAGTTGAAATCGGTAAATGGGCAGTTTCTTGTACTCAATCGATGGAAAAAATGGAGTTCTGAAGAAATAGCTATAAGTTTGGTTGACTGGAATAATGGAATTAGCCGAAAATAGGGCTCAAAGTGGGCGAAATCGCCGATTTGTAAATATCGCCGAGGTCGTTAACTTCGCGAGAGCGTAATTCCGTCAGTTTTCCATCAGATTTCGTTTTTTTTTTTTTTTTTTTTGTGTCTTTACAATCGGGAAAAGATTCTCTATCATTTCATAAGAAAAATAATTTTTTTTTTGTTTTTTCTTAAATTTTGCGACACCAGGAGACACCTCAGGATTGGGGGTTGCGACAGTCAAAGGGTTAATAAAACATTGGGCAGATGATCCTACAGGTCCGCCATCACAAATCCGGCAATCAGTTATTCAGTTCCTTCAGTTATTCAGCACTAATTTTGGCTAGCATAATTTCAAATTTTGAGGGCTGCCACACCAACCTGCTGGTACTGTTTGGTGGCACTACTTGCTGCACGAGTCATTCAAATTTCTTTTTCTTCATTTATTGTTATAACCTGCTTACTTTTATCCCTAGCCATGGTTCCAATGAATAAAAGAAATGCTTCTCATTATGCAAAGCACCGACACAGTACATTATCCATTAAAGATAAGGTGACTTTGAAGCTACTGTTGGTTGCTATGAGCTAATTCTCATGATGCAGGAGAATATGCTTTATTATTGCACTAATATCAACACTACAGCTTATTTGCCTATCACAATTGATCTAATATGACATAATAAACAATATAAATAACATAGAACATGTTAAACACTCCAGAATAAATAATATTTGGCATAACACCGAGCAGTTCGACGGAGGTATTAAGAGGATATGGTATACAAATACCATTCTCCTATCCCTGTCTTGAGGGGCTTATATTAGAGAAAACGGAGTGTAGCACAGGGTTGTGATATACGCTCATACTGCACCATAAACCTGAAACAAAAAAGTTATTTTCTCTATATAGATTATCACACATAGCAGCATATGTGTAGAGAACCTAGGATAACCCAAAAAAGTGAACGTGGCTTATTTCTAGTACCTGGCTTGCGTTAGCCATATATGATTTTTGGTAAATATTCGACTCCCAGCCAAGGTAGAAACATTTGGAGTGTTTCTTTACACCTGTTGTCTATGTTTACCCATCAGTAAATAGGTACTTGGGTGTTACCGACTAGTGGGTGTTATCCTGGGACACTGACCAAATTTTCTTGAAATACTCTGCATAACAAGCAGCTTTCTATATAGTAGTATGTTACTGATGTCAGCTAGGCCTGTATACCTTGTACATGTACGTGTAGTAAATAAAGATAGTTATTATTATTATATTATTTTCTCAGTTGTTTGTTGGGTTATCTTGTTGAAACTTGGGCAATGTATGATGGAAAGATACTTCTTAATGTACACCAAAAATGAAAGAAATTAGACCATAAATAGCGGAGTTCCCTTCTCAGCCATTAGCGGTATATTTTTGTATGGTTTTTATGGTTATATTCTCATTTTTTTTGGTGTCATTTGATAGAATGAAAGATATATTACAGAAATAAATATGATTTTGATTGCTTTCATGATGAAAAGTACCTTGAAATTGCGCTCACAGTAATCAAAATGTTCTATTCTTCAGCGAAGCTCAAGAGTAAACAAATGACGTCACCGTCCAATACCTGTCCGCCTGCCAGTCCAAATTCCAATACAGAGTCAAGAATGGGTTGACATTATTTATACAATTATTACAATAATGCAGCAGTCTGCATAACAGTAAATCTATTTTTTTGTGAATAAAAATTCCAAATGGTAAGCAAGAGTAATATAAGAGGGGCCTGTAGCCGTGACTAATGAACAGAGAAAATGTTATTTTAGTGCCAGGAATGTCTACATTGCTTATTCTGAACCCTATTTTGAAATTGGCATCTGTTGAAATTTGTGTGAAATTGGCCAAATTGCCAATTTCTGACCACTTTATTGTGTAGTTGAAATAAGTGAATTGGCAGTTTCTTGTACTCAGTTGACAGACTAGAAGTAAATAAGTTTATTCAGGTACTATACACAAATAGTTACACTGCTATGTATGATAATCTATGTATGTATAGAGAACCTAGGATAACCCAGGAAAGTCAGACAAAGTGACTTATTTCCAGTACCTGGCTTGGGTTTGCCATATATGATTTTTGGTAAATATTTTTTTTTTTTCGGTTGTTTGTTGGGCTATCTTATTGAAACTTGGGCAATGTATGATGGAAAGATGCTTCTTAACGTACAGCAAAAATAAAAAAGATGGGCGATAAATAAGGGAGTTCACTTCTCAGCCATTAGCCGCCTCTTTGCAGTATATTTTCATATGGTTTTTATGATTGTATTCTCATTTTTTGGACTCATTTGATAAAATGGAAGATATATTACAGGAATAGACATGATTTTGATTGCTTTCATGACGAAAAGTACCTAGAAATTGAGCTCAAAGTAGCAGAAATGTTCGATTTTTGCCGATGTTCAATAAACTTTGCGCAAGTCAAGTTGTTAAATTTTATTAAGTGTATTCTAACCTAACCACTCTGTAATCCGGCAAACTCAGTAATCCGGCAAACTACAGGTCCCAATGATGCCGGATTTGTGATGGAGGACCTGTATAAGCATTTCAAAGATCTTGGCCACATAAGAAAGTGCTATTTCTTTATAAATGTGTTGATCAGTGGTTGATTTTAAAGCAGATGTGTTCTATAGTCATCAAGAGGGGGCCTCTGTTCATCCTTTCATAAAAACAAGTCTTCCCTCTTTTAAAAAAAACATGTCAAACTAACATTCTGTTTCACATTTAAAATTCTCTACAAAAACTGATGAATATTCTGTTCTTGACCAAATTTTTTCAAAGTATAGTAATGTTTGCCATGTATTTAGATTGCATACTGACCTCTTTTTTAACTGAGGCCACCTTCATGAAAAGTTTATAATGATCTGACACTGAGCACTTGTTAGATATTGCATCACTGCTAATTTTTTTTAAGACCTCTCTGCTGCTTTTGATACTATGAATATGGATAACTGATAGGCAGTCTTCTTGTTATGGTCTTAGAGATATAGCTTTGATGCTTTCAAAATCATATTTGACTTGTCAGTCAGGGACCAGTGACAGTCAATGATTCTGCCCTTTAGTGCCCTTCAGGGCTGTGGTCTTGGACTGGTGCTGTTTATGTATATGTTAGAGGTTTTACCTTACTACTGGATCCTTTTTAGGTTGATTATCTTTTTTTATGCTAACAGATATACAGGTCTACATCCAATTTATGAAAGTTTAAAATGCAAAACTCAGTTTTTAGTTTTCCTCTTTGCTCGATGTTCAAACTTCGATAGAAAGTAGAAAATTTAAGCTAAATGAGATAAGGCAGAGATTTAATTCTCGGGGAAATAATACCGGAGATTTTGATCAGCTTGCATCCTGTGGGATCAATGAAAGATCTGGATGTTTATGAGGACTTTTCGGTGTTATTTATTGGGTTTATCATCTACACTGTAAAATCGTGCAATTTTCATATTTGTAATCCCTGTGCAATCAGGATGTGTCTTATTAAACAGAATATAGCATCTTGGTTCTTATCCACACATTTGTTTCCTCTCAAACTGGCTTTTGTAATTGTTTGTGGGTTTGTCTAATCACTTGATTCATGCAGCTGCACTACTTGTATGAGCTGCACTGGCTCCCTATCAAAGCAAGAACTGAATTTAAACTCTGTTCGTTAACATGTAAATCTATTAAATTTAAAGAACCCAAATATCTTACTGATATGCTTGTACTTATTTTATTAGGTACAGTAATGTTTCTACGAATTGCTGAAGAGAGAAATTACAGTGAAAAAGCCTCTTCTTATGTAGTTCCCAAACTATTGGAGTATACCAGTGTCTGGCAAGAGTTAAGAATATGTTTATGTTTTTAAGTCTCAGTTAAAAGTACATCTGTTTTTTAGAGCTGACGATCCTGACGATCATACTCTCACTCCTGAATAAAAATTGTAGCATCCTTTTAACTGTAGCTGTAATTATGGCTCAGTATGTGAGAGTTTGTGAATTTCTTGAAAGATGTACTTGAAGATTATATGGAGAGTTACAGTTATGCATTTTTCAAAACTCAAACAATGAAATTAAGCAACTGAATACTACATAAAATCTCAAAAAAACATAACTGTCTAGACTGACTAGATTTTAAGCCATGTTTTAGAAAAGGAAAGCATATTGCTTACTATACGAATACCTTTGATATGAATTCTGTCTTGTACCTACTGCCAGGTTAGCATTCTGCAATGTTACTGAAGCAGATAATTAAGAAGTGTTCTAATACTCTAACATAGATAAGATATCTCTTCTTCAGCAACACCCATCACTCTTTATAAATCTTAAGTAACACTTGAACAATATTACATATGCTTTTCTCTCATGTGTGATACAAGCAGAAGATTGTAGTGAAATTTTTTTTTTTTTTTTTTTTTTTTTGGGGGGGGGGGGGGGGGACATACAGGGTGCTAATATTACTGCTTTTGTGTCTAAATTTACATGCTTTACTGGATTACTTTTTTGAGGAAAGTTCTTTACATTTTTTTTTAATTAACACATCGGCCGTTTCCCACCAAGGCAGGGTGGCCCAAAAACGAAAAACTTTCATCATCATTCACTCCATCACTGTCTTGCCAGAAACATGCTTATACTACAGTTATAAAACTGCAACATTAACACCCCTCCTTCAGAGTGCTGGCACTGTACTTCCCATCTCTAGAACTCAGGTCCAGCTTGCTGGTTTCCCTGAATCACTTCATAAATATTACCCTGCTCACACTCCAACAGCATGCCAAGTCCTAAAAACCATTTACCTCCATTCGCTCCTAACACTCATGCATGCTTGCTGGAAGTCCAAGCCCCTCACACACAAAACATACTTTACCCCCGCCCTCCAACCTTTCCTAGGCCAACACCTACCCCACCTTCCCCCCACTACAGATTTACACACTCTCAAAGTCATTCTATTTTGTTTCATCCTCTCTACATGTCTGAACCACCTCAACAACCCCTCCTCAGTCCTCTGGATAATAGTTTTGGTAATCCTGCACCTCCTTCTAATTTCCAAACTATGGATTCTCTGCATTATATTCACACCACACATTGCCTTCAGACATGACATTTCCACTGCCTCCTGCCTTCTCCTTGTTGCAACATTCACCATCCATGCTTTGCACCCATATAAGAGCATTGGTATAACTATACTCTCATACATTCTCCTCTTTGCTTCCATGGACAAAGTTCTTTGCTCCAAAGACTCCTCAGTGCACCACTCGTCTTTTTCCCCCTCGTCAATTCTATGATTCACCTCATCTTTCATAAACCCATCTACTGACACATCCACTCTTAAAAATCTAAATACATTCACCTCCTCTATACTCTCTCCCTCCAATTTGATATCCAATCTTTCGTTATCTAACTTTATTCTCATCACCTTACTCTTTCCTATATTCACTTTTAATTGTCTTCTTTTACATACCCTACCAAACTCATCTACCAATCTCTGCAACTTCCCTTCAGAATCTCCCAAATTCACAGTGTCATTAGTAAAGAGCAACTGTGAAAACTCCCACTTTATGTTAGATTTCTTTATCTTTTAACCCCACACCTCATGTCAACACCCAAGCACTCGCTTACAACCCCATCTATAAATACTGAACAACCATGGTGACATCACACATCCTTGTCTAAGGCCTACTTTTACTGGGAAATAATCTCCCTCTCTTCTATATACTCTAACCTGAGCCTCATTATCTTCGTAAAAACTCTACACTGCTCTCAACATCCTACCTCTTCTTCTGTACATTTGCAACATCTGCCACACTGCCTCCCTATCCACTCCCTCTTACACCTTTTCCAAAGCCATAAATGCCACAAAAACCTCTTTATCCTTATCTAAATACTGTTCACCTAAATGTTTCACTGTAAACACTTGGTCTACACACCCCCTACCCTTCCTAAAGCCTCTTTGTTCATCTGCTATTCTACTCTCAATCTTACTCTTAATTCTTTCAATAATAACTACCATACACTTTACCAGGTATACTCAACAGACTTCTTATTCCTTCAACGTACCAGCCATATCCCACCGAGGTGGGGTGGCCCAAAAGGAAAAACGACAATTTCTCCCTGTAATTTAGTAATATATACAGGAGAAGGGGTTACTAGCCCCTTGCTCCTTGCATTTTAGTCGCCTCTTACGACACGCATGGCTTACAGAGGAAGAATTCTGTTCCACTTCCCCATGGATAACAACAGACTTATTCCCCTATAATATTTGCATTCTCTTTTGTCCCCTTTTCCTTTATATAAAAGAACTATGCATGTTCTCTGCCAATCCCTAAGTACCTTACACTCTTCCATTCATTTATTAAAAGCAACAACCACTGCAAAACTATATCCCCACCTGCTTTTAACATTTCTAGCTTTATCCCATCAATCCCAGCTGCTTTACCCCTTTCATTTTACCTACTGCCTCACAAACTTTCCCCCCACTCACAACTGCCTCTTCCTCACTAGACGTTATTCCTCCTTGCCCTATACATGAAATCACAGCTTCCCTATCTTCATCAACATTTAACAGTTCCTCAAAATATTCTCTCCATCTTCCTGATACCTCTAACTCTACATTTAATAATGCTCCTCTTCTTAATAATTATACAGTTTCTCCTTCATGAGTTTTTTCATGTCTTGCTAAATCATTCTGTCGTGAAAACTCTTTCCCACACAATGAACAAAGATACGGTTTCTCTCCAGTATGTGTTCTCATGTGCATTGTTAAATTATTTTTTTGGGTAAAGCCTCTTAGGCACACTGAACACTGATATGGCTTCTTTCCTGTATGAGTTCTCATATGTATTTCCAAATAAGTTTTTTGTGAGAATTCTTTTTGACATACTGAACATGGGTATGGTTTCTGTCCAGTATGAATTCTTAAATGTTTTACCATAACACTTTTTTCTGAGAAGTCTTTTGCACATACAGAACATTGATATGGTTTCTCTCCAGTATGAATTCTCATATGTTTTACAAGAACAGATTTTTTGGAAAATCCTTTTGAACACTCTGTACACTGATATGGTTTCTCTCCTGTGTGAGATCTCATGTGTGTTACAAGATAATATTTATGTGGAAAATCTTTATGACACTCTGGACACTGATGGGGTTTGTTTCCTGTATGTATTCTCATGTGTGTTATTAAATTACACTTTTGTGAAAAATCCTTTAAACATACAGTACACTGATATGGTTTCTCTCCTGTATGAGTTCTCATGTGTGTTGCTAAGTAATCTTTTTTAACAAAGTTTTTCAGACATATTGAACACTGAAATGGCTTTTCCCCTGTATGAGTTCTCATATGTGTTACAAGATTAATTTTCTGTGTAAAGTCTTTATCACATAAGTTACACTGATATTTTTTGTCCCCAGCATGAGTCTTCATGTGTTTAACTAAGTCATCGTGTTCTGGAAAACCTCTGACACATTCTAGACACAGAGGACGTTTCTCTCCCTCGTGCTTTCTCATGTGTGTTATAAGATCAGATTGATCTGCAAAAACTTTTAAACATTTTGGACATCTGAAAGGCTTGTCATCTGTATGAATACTCATTTGTATTACTACAGTAGATAGACTCTTACGTTAAACACAATGTAATTATTAATCTCAGACCTGACTACAATCCTGATTTTTTTTATATATTTGCCCCAATATGGTTTCTCTTTCATATAACCTAGCAAAAATTTCCTAATGCTTACTTTCAAAACAGATTTTAGAAAAGAGTATTAAGAATGCCAAAAATTTCTCTTATAGAAATAGCTGTGTATTCTGGGAACACAATATTACACCTGTCAATAAAATTTTACAAAATATACAAGATATTTGTGTATCAAATATATTTCTAATATTAAACTCTTAAATGTTTTATTTTATAAAAGGTTTAAAGAAAGTAAAACACTGAAATAATTTCCTATACTACAGCCTCTGTACTTTGTTACATAATCATTATATAATAAGAAAGAAAAGAGAGTAATGCTGAACAATAATGAGGGTCTGTGTAAATTCAATCCTAATTGAAAAAGACTGTCAAGAAATTTAAATTAAAAATTGTTGTTTATATGAGTTTCTATCATATCTGAAGTTTTACAGCAGTGAAGAAAGATGCTGCTACACTCAACACTTTAACAGTGCTCATCTGGCAATGATTATTGAGACAGTATGTCTGTAAAGGAGCAAGGGGCTAGTATCCCCTTCTCCTGTATAAATTACTAAATTTAAAAAAAAAAAACTTTTGTTTTACTTTTTAGGTCACCTGTCTTGGTGGGATACAGCTGGTTTGTTGAAAAAAAAATGTCTACAAACTGTTTACTTGATAATGTGTAAGTTGAATGAACTAATAATTCATTTTATCAAATTGAACATAAACATTAAAACTGCTATAACAATTATATTAAAAAACAATAATAATATTAGTCAAATGAAAGTAATAACAATGATGTTTTATTTTCCCAGAAGATACATTAGTACTATAAAGATAACTTAAGAGTTTGTTTATTCCTTATACAGAAAATACTATAATTCTGCAAAGAATTATGCTGACAATATTATAACAAGAGAATGATGCACCACTTGATTAATGTCAGAAAAGTCACTAGTCACAAATAAGGTATCAAGGTGCAGTAAGTTAATGCTGGAATATGTCTAACAATTTAAAGAAATGGAAAGTGTGACAATACAAGTAAAAGATGAGGTAAAGTGCTGAGAGTCAGTAAACACAGCTACTTTATACGACTATTTGTGAGAGTCAGTAAACACAGCTACTTTATAAGACTACTTGTGAGAGTCAGTAAACACAGCTACTTTATAAGACTACTTGTGACAAATTATATGTGTGACAAACATCAGCCACTCTTGTTAGTGAATTTGTGAACAAGAGTCACAAAAATTACAAAGTTTCTAGAAAGTATTACTGTTAAATACCTAACAATTAGCATAACTACACATACAGTGTACTAGTAGCTAATAATGAAGACTTTAAAGATGCTAAATAAGTTCTTACTACATATGCAAATTTCCTTTGATGATGAAAATTAACTTGAAATGCTTTTCTAAAGTACTTGAAAAGAAATGAAAGAGCAATTACACATACAAGGATGCTGATTCATGCTTTCAAATCTCTGAGCAGTATTTCTAACACTGATGTGTTCTTAACTTTCAGTGTTGACTCGTATATATACATATACAGTATACAGAGTGTCTGACACTTACACGAGTCTTATAGAATTAAGCAATGGCACTATATGAGTGGCGTTTCTTGTACAAGGATAACCTGCAAATAGAAAAAACCGAGGTTATTAACAGTGCTTTAATGATACTGATGTTAAAAATCTTGAAACATTTGTCATAATTAAACCATAATGATATTCACATTTACAATTAAACCACAATTTTTTTCTTGTAATTAATGTTAGTGTAATTGTTGGGAATCACTAAACCAACAGGCTTTGCAAACAAAAAAATGTCATAGGTTGATTTAACTAAATCATCCATAAATGTCTAATGGCATTGTTTATGTATTTCTGTTAAATATAGCAATAACAAAGAAACGTTCAGTTGTAGTTACTTTCATAAGTTAAGGCAATATTTACTGAAGCGTAAAACAATAAAAAGTAAACATTAATCATGTGTAAGTAACTGAAGTATGTATATCCATCCTTGAAGTTGATATAGTAACTCTCATGCCTGGCTGGCACCTTCATCAACCAGCTAAGACAAGTGCCTGACAACACAAGTAGTGTCATCTCATACTAATAGTTGTGGCACCTGTGTGCACATTAGATATAGACCTGCAAAACATTACCTTTCTCTACTGTAATTTATCATTCTCTTATCATTTGTTAAACACTACATGTCAGCACTGATTGTTTTTAAGTGCTATCTGTGTGAAACATTTATAAAAAACATTATATTCTACATACACATCTCCTGAAAAGTAGAATATTTTCTCACCACAGCTGTTGTTACACTTGTAGTTATGTGGTGCAGGAAGAACCAGACATATACAATATTTCTATTTCTGTCAGGTGTTTCCATCATTCTTCATCAAACTCTACATATCCCACAATGACCTCTTCTTCACCACTCAATACTGTTGTAATTATTAGTATACAGCCTTCCCTCACTTGGCGACGTACTCGTTTACCGATGCCTCGGACTTACGACGGGCTCTCTGACCAGTATGCAAGCCTAAATAATGTATATTATAGCCAATTTCCTCTATCCTGTTTATTACAATATACAGTACATTACTGTATAAACATTTAAAAATATACCAAAAATGTTATAAATGGTGCAGAGGTGACATTAAAACAATATCAAAGATGGCTGACACAAACCCACTACCATTATAGTATGCTCCTCACTTAGCGACGAATTTGTTTACAGACGTGGTCTTAGGAATGGAACTCCGTCGTTATGTGCGGAGAGGGTGTATTTTAAAAATTGGCCCCTTCACACAATGAATGGGTAGCCTAAAGAAAGACAAAATATGATTTCTTCAGATGATTACCCAGCGAGGGTTAGCCACCCAGAATAGCCCAACAAAGTCAGTGTGTCATCAAGGACAGTGTCTTATTTCCACTGGGACTCCAGGATGAGACCCACATCAGTTGACTAACACCCAGGTACCTACTTACTGCTAAGTGAACAGGGACAGCAGGTGTAAGGAAACATGCCCAACATTTCCACCTAAACCAAGGACTGAACAATGACAATTCAGTGTGTGAGGCGAGTACATTACCAACCATGCCACAAAACATTCACTGTCACTCATTTAATAACTGATGAAAACAAACAAACAACTATTTATTTATTTATTTATTTATTTATAATTTGAGCACACTTACAGAGGTACAAAAAAATACAGAAGAGCAGCATGCCAAAGCCACTTATACTATGCATAGCATTACGGGCTGGCTTAAAATTAACTTAAGATTAACTAAGCAATGATGAAATCAGTGAAAAACATTAATGTAAACTGATTACTATAAAGCACAAGTGAGTATTACAAAGACAGGTCATATGGTTGCATGCATTGTTGTAAATTCAGTAGAATGGAGTATTCTGTTAGGTAGTGTATTTAAAAAATAATAAAGTTAGATTGGGTTTAGGTTAAATTTATGTGATATAATTGTGAGAAACATTTAAGATATACAATTTTTTAAGGTTCAGTTATTCAGTATTTATTTGGTTTTGGGTGAGTAAGTGATCTTTGAGAAGAGACTTGAATTTATAAACAGGTAGTGTTTCTTTTATATTTACAGGTAATTGAATTCCAGATTTTAGGGCCTTTTAAATGTGCATTGAGTTTTTGCATAGCGTGAGATGGACACGGGGAATATCAAAGAGTGATCTGTGCCTTGTGTTATGGTCATGTGTTCTGTTGAGGTTGGCAAGGAGATGTTTGAGGGAGGGTTAAATATCAGAGTTGAGTGTTCTATGTATGTAATAGGTGCAGTAATAAGTATGGATGTTTTGTATGGTGAGTAGGTTGAGTGTATTGAATATTGGTGGAGTGTGCTGCCTGTAGTGAGAATTTGTTATCATTCTAACTGCAGCCTTTTGTTGGGTAATTAGTGGTCTGAGATGGTTACTTGTTGTTGAGCCCCATGCACAAATTCCATAGGTGAGATAGGGGTAAATAAGAGAGTGATATAGGGCCAGGAGGGCTGACTGTGGAGCATAGTACCGTATCTTCGATAGTATGCCTACAGTCTTGGAAATTTTCTTAGAAATTTGTTGTATATGTGTATGAAATTTGAGTCTATTATCAAGGTGGATTCCTAAGAATTTTCCCTCTGTTAGTTTTTGTGATAGGTGATCCGTTTATCATTATGTTAAGGGGGACATCTGTAGCTCTGTTACCAAACTGAATGAAGTAGGTTTTGTCAATGTTTAGTGTAAGTTTGTTAGTACTCATCCGGGTAGATATTTTCTGTAATTTTCGGTATTTACAGTATTGGCTAGCGTGACTGGGCTCGGGTGGGAGAAGACGTATGTTGTGTCATCAGCAAATAGTGTGGGTTTGAGTAATTGAGAAGCATTTGGTAGGTCATTTATGTATAGGAGAAAGAGAAGAGGGCCAAGGACACTTCCCTGTGGGACACCAACTGTAATTGGTTGTGCAGAAGAGTTTGCCCATTTGCGTACACATATTGGCTTCTGTTGCTGAGGTATTGACTTGAGGTAGTTGAGGGAGTGCCCTCTTATACCATAGTGTGACAATTTTACGTGGAGCAAGTCATGGTCAACTGTATCAAAAAGCTTTACGTAAGTCAATGAAGATCCCAGTGGGACTTCTTTTTTCTCTATTGCAGTGTATATATGTTCTAGCATGTGTATGATAGCATCATTAGTATTTTTATAGGCCTGAATCAAATTGGCAGGGGTTGAGTATGTTTTGGGAGATAAGGTAGGAGTAGATTCGTTTAAGGATTAATTTTTCGAAGATTTTGAAGAGGGTGTAAGTTGGATATTGGCCTATAGTTATTCAACTCTGTTTGGTCTCCTCCTTTGTGGATCGGGGTGACCCTTGCTAATTTTGAGTACTGTAGGGAAGGTGGAGGATTCAATGGATTTGTTAAAGAGTGTTGCAATGATTGGTGATAGCACTTGTGACACTTTTTTGTATATAAAGGGTGGTAAGGTATTTAAATCTCCTGCCTTGTTTTTTAGTGCGTTGATAATAAGGGAGACTTCGTATGGGTTAGTCGGAGCTAGGAACATGTTGTTCGGGTAGTTGCCGGTGAGGTAGTCATTTGGGGGGTATCTGAGCTTGGGATTTTATTGGCAAGGTTTTGTCCTATAGTGGAGAAGAAATCATTGAGTCTGTTTGCTGTTTCTGTTGGTGGAGTTGGGGTTCATCTGATTTTGCTAATTTTATTTCGCTATTTCGTGATATCTTTTTTGTTCCCAGAATTTCTGATAGGGTTTTCCAGGTCTTTTTATATCACCTCGTAAGTTGGATAATCTGTTCTCATAATACAATTTTTTTTGCCCTTCTTATCAGGCTGGTTAGGATTGACGAGTAACGTTTTGTTTGGTCTCTGGTTATGTGACCCATTCTGTACTGTTTTTTCATATTGGTGTTTTGTATTTATGGATTTGAGAATGCTGGGTGTTAGCCAGGGACTGTTCAGTCTCTTAGCTGTCATGCCTGCTTAGTTTTTTTAGGGCAGTGCTTGTTATAAAAGGTATTGAAGTCTTTTTTAGAAAATTATTAATACATTCGTCAATATCTGTATTGATTTCTAGCTCAGTGTGCCAGTCAATGTTTGCTACTGCTGTTGTGAAGTTATTAATGGCTGCCTCATTGTGAAGTCTGAAGGTGACTTTAGTAGTGTCTTGGGGTAATTTACCAAGAGTTGTTATGAGGAAAGTAGGGTAGTGGTCTGTGGTATTATCTGTAATTATGCCCGATTTTAAAGGGGATATGGTGTTGGTCCAGATGTGGTCAAGTAGGGAAACACTAGTCTCTGTAACTCTTGTAGGTTTTGTTACTGTTGGTAGCAACATACAGTTACTCATTGTGTTTGTGAATTCAGTAACGTGTGGGTCCTGGTCTTGCAGGAGATTTATATTGAAGTCACCTGAGAGTAGTAAGTGATCTTTGTTCATGCGTGCATCAGTTATCATACTTCCTAGGTTTTGACTAAATTGGCTAATGTTTGACTGTGGAACTCTGTAGATGTTTATCAATGTGAGAGGTTTTTTGTAGGTATTTGGATTTGAATTTGGCTATTATATATTCCCCATGTTCATCTCTTGTGCAAGTATTAGTGATACATTCTAGTTGGTCTGAGTAGTATATGGCTGTGCCCACCCCCTTGTTGGTCTGGCCTACAGTTGTGTATGGCTGTGTAACCAGGAATGGCATAGACATCTGTACTATCAGGCTTTAGCCAGGTTTCAGTTAGTGTAATGATGGACATATTGGCATGTAAGGAATTTAGTAATGCTATGAGGTCATCGTAATGCTTGCTTAAAGATCTGATATTGTAGTTAAAGATAGTTATGTTTTTTGTTGGCACTGAGAAGTGCCTTTGATTGTTCTGCAGTGTAGTAATTACAGTAACTGTTTGATTCATTTAAGTCATTAAATAAGAGGTTGGTATCTGGATCAATGCTTGTAATCATAAGATTTGTAGTGAATCTATAGTTAGAATTAAGTATAAAACAAAGTAAATAGTCTTAAGCTAAAAAATAGCACCTGAATTATTTAACAAATGTAAAATAATGAGCTAAGGTAGTTTTTTTTTTTTTTTTTTT